AAAACTCAAGGGTTTTGTGCTTGCTTTTTCCCAGATAAAAAAAAAAAAAAAGGTACATTCACCCGTTCTTATGAGCCAGCTCGCTCTTATACTAGTCCCTGGAGCGTCTCTCTCCCATCTAGGAATCCTTGAGTCATCACGTCCAATACAGTGTATAAGACATGAGGACACAGAGGGACATACCATCACTGTAGTGGAAGCAGAGTCTGGAGGGAGCCCTGACGGCTCCGAGGATCGGATGAGTAAAGCTTTTTCTTTTTTTCACCCTAGGCAAAAACAAGCCGTTAACCCTTGCAGTGCGGGGGTAGCCCCGCTGCAAGGGTTAATACAATTTCTGCCTGGAGTTGTACACACCTCTTCTCCATAAATATATCCAGGGAAATCAGGCAAGTTAGTGAGTAGAGCATTTCACCTTTTTCTTTTCCTGTCGTACAAGATCTGTTGCTAGATCTGCAAGGGTCCTGCCAGTTTTCAGATTTCATTTCGGCCTCTCTGCACAAGCAGTACTTATAAACAATTCTCACAATCACTTTAAGATGTGTGTACAGATATATTTGTGCTTGATGCCTCTATGGGGTGGGTTCCATTAGAATGCACCTTTCACAGAAAAACCCCACAGAGCCTCTCACACAGAGAAGTAAATGTACTAAATATATACCCAAAAGGAGGCCATACACTAAAACGTTTGATTCAGCTTAGCAGCATGGATGGAAGAATCTCCTCTGCTAGGACATTGTTTTCTTTTTTTTTTTAATTAGATAATTTTTATTGTTTAAACATAGGAAACAAATAACGGCACAGAAGGAAGGCCAAACAAACAAATGTCACCCTGAAGAAGGGATCCTGCGTGGCCCCCGAAACGTTAGCTTAATGACGCATGTGACAGTTCAGTGAAAGTGCTTATACTTCTTGCACATAATATCGAGTGCTGGTGATTTCTATCACTGACTATTTCTTACACGGCGCCATCCGTGTTGTCACTTTGAGCACCAAACTTCTGTATTTGAAGGTCTACATCAGGGGTAGCCAAACTCCGGCCCTCCAGCTGTGGTGGAACTACAAATCCCATGAGGCATTGCAAGAGTCTCACAGCCACAGACATGACTCCCCGAGAAAGATGCCTCATGGGATCTGTAGTTTCACCACAGCTGGAGGGCCAGAGTTTGGCTACCCCTGGTCTACATGCTGTATGGAGTGCAGGTGAATGATTGATACTTACTAAGGTTAACCATGTTAACAATGCTATCTCATCTACAGGGGCTGTCTATGGCCAGAAAGAAAGGTTGACACCACAACGTATCTTTATATCACAATTACCTGTAAAGCAGATAACTGACATGGAAACCGGTTTTGAAATCTCCGGACAATCCAGTGGATTCTGGAGTGATCACAATGCTGCAGGATTTACATTCCTCACCATACAATTCCACAGGTCTGTCAAACACCACAAAGTCTTCACACTCAGGTAAATGGGATGATGTCAAGGGCGGAACGTCTTTCTTACCTAGAGAATGAAATACTGTGTGAGTACCTTTAAATCTTTCAGAGACTGCAGCTAGAAAAGTTCAAATGGAAATCCTGTCCAACATAAAAATACACAGCCATTAAAAGATCAGATGAAAAAGAAGCTTTTGCTGCAATATTCAACTTCAATCTGGGGTCCCCCCAGTGCTTTTTCTCTACCTCTGATGTCCTTAGTCTTTTGGGTTGATGACAGCCAGCTCCATTTAACCCACTTCTTCTAAGCCCAGGTCATCATGACCCCATCACCCTTCAAAGCATGTGTTTTAGTAGAAAAAATAAGGGGCTGCACGATTGTGCTTCCCTTGTTTAAACAAGCTTATTTGTTTGGAGTGAATCACCTCTCCCACCAGACTAACCCCAGCCCATGACTACACAGTAAAGAGCTCATCTATCAGTCACTCTGCTCTCTTCTCCTAGCAAAATGTTCCCTTTTAGCACATGAACTGAATGGCTCTGTGTGCGGCTTCTTCCTCTCCTACTCTGAAGTCTTTTACCTGGCACAGTTTTATTTTTTTTAATTTTTTTATATAGTTAGTGAATTAATTACATTTGTATTCTGACAGTGGCACCGGCCACTGTCAGAATACTGTTACGGAGCTTGCAGCTGATTGGCTGAGGATTTACCATCCGACACCTTTAGACTTCTGATCGAGGGATGCCGGTCAGAAGGGTGCTGACAGGGACACACATTGTGTGAATTTTGGCAGGAAGTTTGCATAGTTTATGGCCAGCTTTACTCCTCACTGCCGCATGCTCTTCTTCTCTGTGTGTCCCTGAAGCTGCTTCTCTTTGGCACTCTGTCCGTAGCTTGCAACTCTGACGCCATCACATAGAATGCAAAACCAAAATTTTTGCATTCTAAGTGTTACCTGAATTACTATTTTAAGTTATGAACCGCTATATAAGCATTCACACTTACAGGTATAATATTCTAAGGATTCATTCATGAGATTTTTGAGCTCAACACAATAACAGAATTTATTGGTATATAGTATCAAGACTTAAATACAATGAACCAACAATCTATTTAACTACAACATACAAAGAAAAGATTTAAACATGCCAAATACCCAGACATTGGTATCTAACAGACAAACAGACATACAGTTAAGTGGGGGAAAGATTATATGTATAGTTACCCATTAATCGTCACATGAGGCCCCATCCTGGTGACAAGAGGCCGAGCTGCTTTTTCCAGTCATTAATCTACCCCTGGTGTCCATAGGGATGCATGGCACGTGTCCCATTGGTTGCCTCCCAAGGCCTAATGGACATTGGAGGGTTTCCAAGACCCAAGGGTTTCTCACTCCACACCCCTCTCTACGATTGGCCAGTCTACTTGTTATTAGATCAAAGGGTCTTGGCTCCTGATAAACAGGATACTGAAGTTGAACATCTATGTGATTATCTGGACATGCCTGGGCTCAACAATGACCCTATTTGCAATTCATTGGGCCTGCCACTCCCCTCCACAGTGATAAGCACAACAAATACTTTATTTGCCAACTAGCTACCCCCACCTATTTAAAACAAGAAATAAAACTATATACATATGTCTTATGAAGATTTGACATAAACTCATACGGTAACACTAAGTGAGGTCTGCCCACAATCCGGAGCATCAGAGGTAAGAGGAGAGTGCTGGCTGCTGGGGGAGCAAGGGGTAAGGCAAGTAAAAGTTCTATTTACTGGTACCCTAAGCAAAAAAAAAAAAATGAGCATTTAACCCTTGCAGTGCAGGGGAGCCTACTGCAAGGGTAAATTTCAGCTTCATATAAATTATACTACAGATGAACACTGCAGCCTATAGGTATCAGTGTTCATCTGCTGGCTGAAGGTTTTTAGTTTGATCAGTAAAGCCCCCAGCCTCCATGTGATCACTATCAGGGTTATTCACAAAAGGGTGAAGAGTTTGGAGAAGGCAGGAGAAGAGAACAATCCAGACCAAAATAGCTGATTTGGAAAAATCCTCCAATTCAGCTCACTTTCCAGTTCAGCGATGTTGTCCTAGATTGTTCACTTCTCCTGCCTTCTCCAAACTCTTCACCCTTTTGTGAATAGTCCTGTAAGTCAGAGCTAACACATTGTTTCCTATTTGTCAGTGGGGACCCTGGCAGTCAGTGACACCCAGGACTGAGAGCCAGCTACCGTGCAAAGTGTCGGCTGCTGGTTCTTAAATGGGAGTATGTTTTTTAACATATCCCCCCGCAAAGGCTTCCCTCTGGGAGATGTTGAAAAACAGGTTGAGGGCAGGAATGGATTAATTATGTTTTATGAATGCAGAACTGCGATCATTTGTCTCTTTTATATCTGCCTAGAGTTCAGCTTTAGGGCTTGTTCACACCCTCTGCGTTCGGGCTGCTTTGGCTGTTTTATCCAGAGAAGCCTGAACGCTTGCCTTGTCATAGATAGTGACAGTTCACACCACCACGTTCTAGTGGTGTGCAGTTAAAAAAATATGTCACGCTTATCCAAACATCGGGCTCTCGAGCTGTCAAAACAAATAGCAGAGAGGTGAGGTGAGTCACTGCTGCCTCTCTGCTATTTTGAGCTGTCAAATACGGGATCGCAAATTGCGGTCCTCTATTTGCATGTAACGGCTTCATTCTTTCATTAATGAAAGGAAGAAGCTTTTACAAAAAGCTTAATTATTTAATTAATTAATGCCTCAATACTGAGACATTAATGAATGACTGTTAAATGCTGAGAATCAGCAAATACCGGCATTACAAAGCCTGATATAACTCGTCACGTACAGTGTACGTGGCCAGTCATATAGGCACAAAGTGACAGGACGTACACTGTACGTCTCCCATCACGAAGGGGTTAAGCACATTAGAGGCGGTACAACCACGTAGCATTGCGGTGAGCCCATAAAACTTAACAAAATGTCACTTGTGACAATTGAATAAAGTTGTAACGAAAATACCCTAAACATTGTGACGCAGCTCTATAGAGTGCATCACCACTGTACAAGGCACACGCACAACAGCAGTTGTGTGGTTGAGAGTGGCTGCTGTTGTGAACTAGCCCTCAATGTTTCCCAAACAGCATACTGTGGACACAAAATGTGTTTTAGAATCTGCAGCCTGGCCCTGATCTAGGGAAAAAAACAAAAAACACTATGATTACTGCTGACTGATCCGGGAGGGACAATATTGAAAATGTCTAGTACATAATACTAGAAGTACAAATGTAATAAAACTTACAGTGCCGTAAATAAAACATCCACAGTCTTGAATGTGTTACCTTTCTCTGGCAGTTTTCCCACATCCCGAATAGCAGTGGATATATCTGGCAATGCCTCTTGGTATTCAGATGTCAGTCTAAACACAAGAACTTCTAGCTCACTCATTATGCTGACAAAGTTGGCACAAAAATACACCTCAGTTGGCACAATTCCAGAAACGTGTAAAACCAGCGATCTGTCAAAATCTAACACTGGTATGCCATGAACGGAGATGAACTTCATGCTAAAAACCACTAGCTTGCTCTTGCATCCAACCAGGAGATCTCCACGCACAGGACAACATGAGAGACGGAGAGGATTCTCAGAGAGAGGCATCTCTATAATCTCCATCTGGTCTTTGGCCGCGGTAGGAGGGAGGGTATCTAATTGGAGACCGACCATTCGCACACTGACACGGGAGCTCCCTGTAGACTGGCATCTCCAGTTCACATATGTCCGCAGAGAGGAAATGTTATTTTTCTCTTCGATGGTAACCAAATTATCTCCTGAAGGACAAGAACATGAGATGGATATAAAATACATATTACAAATGCAGTCTGGAGAAAGTAACCTACAAACCTGAGACAGCTGAAGGATCGAAGGAGTCGGGCTCAAAATTGGCTAATTTTATTTCTGTAGCAGAAAATCTATCATTGTACTTGTGCTTACTCTTGGCCACATACCTAGGGTGGACCTTTACCCCCCAAAAACCCGTGATGCATGTAGCACTGCGTGTCCATCCAAATATGTCATAAAAGTCATTTGTAAAATGAAATACTTGTTAAGAAACTTGCATTTTTCCCCCTGGTTTCTCTGAGGCACTGGTGATGTAGCCTGGACCTCACAGGTGCCCCTTGGGAAGGCTATTTCACCAACGCCTTCCAGGGAAATCTTGCCAGAGTCATATGAGATCTTGTTAGTAAATAACATTGGAACAACATTCAAAGAGGACACACAAAAGAAGCACCGCTCCTCCGCGACTTAGAAAAGGAATGAGACGGTTGCTTGCCGCTGGGAGCACATCCTCGCTTAATAAGAGCCCGAACAAACAGAAGAAAAGCTGGTCGCACACCGGATTCCACTGGGATAGTTGGGGGGGCGGACTTTGGGTGGGACACCAGTGATGTGGTACAAGTTTAAACAAACTATTGCAGTGCAATCCGATGTGTGGCCAACTTTTCTTCTGTTTTGACAGCAAATTTTGATTTTGTTTTAGTCGACTAAATATCATGAGATTTTAGTTGACTAAATCTACAGTAGGTGTAGTCTACTAAAATCTAGTGGGTTTAGGTAAAGTGTAATTTACTAATTGCTCTAGAATTTCCAATCTCATGATATACTCCTGGAGTAAACATCTGTTAACCTCTTATTACTTATAGTATTAAGGTTTGAACATGCAATACAGACACACATTTAACTGTTGTGATATTGATATGTAACATGTCTTGGTTTAATCGAATTTTAAAGATAAACCAAGTCTTATAAAGAAACAATAATATTGAGTATTTTCAACCAAGGACCAGTAATTAGATATGTATTGATTATAACAACGTGCATATGACATTCTTCATTCTTTCAAGCAGAAGTGCAACTCTAAAATATTAAAATGGAAAACTAGATTGGCTGTAATGCCATTATACATATTACCTATTAGCCGTTTATTCAGGATGGAAGCGGAACTGGAAGTCCAGAGAGATTAGTTCCGATTGGATCTCTTCCCAAATCGTCTCTCCCTAACATTTTACTCTATCTTTAGTCAACTAAAATGTCAACATATTTCCGTTATAGTTTTAGTCATCAAAACATCGTTTTTATTTAGTTTTAGTCTAGTTTTGTCACTGAAAAGTGTTGTTGACAAAAACTATGCCAAAAATTATTAGTCTACGAAATGAACACTGATCCAGGGAGCTAAAATAACAAAGTTATACTCACCCGGATCCTGGCGGGTTTCTACACTGCTTCCTACAGTCTGTCTCCTCCGCTCCAGCGATGGAATGTCCCTCGGCATGCTCACGTTCTATACATTGTATACAGTAGAATGTGATGATTCACAGGACCTAAGACCGCCAGAGTGGAGCAGGGGCGAGGCTGAAAAGACTGGTCTAAGAGCAAGCTGGGATCGTGGTTCGGGAAAGTTTATCTTTGTTATTTTAGCTGCCTATACAAAAAGAGCACTTGCAGTGCAGGGGTAGCCCCACTGCAAGGGTTAAGATTTGATTTGTCCCACTTTGTCCAGCGCACACCAATCCAGCATACTGGTGTGAATCGGGCCTGTTGGTAATAATGGATTTCGTCTCATCGTTGTGTTGGGCCCAACTTGACCCAGGGCACATGGTGTGAATGTGCCATGAACAAGGATCAGAAAACATCATACAAGTACATGTAGTAATCTAATGACCTGATAGAGGGAAGAACATCTAAAACAAATGTCATTACTACACAACTGTCCCAGACGGTTCTTACCTACTTCACTGTAATGCATTTGAAGCACTTTCCCAAGTGTGTTAAAGCTGCACAGCGGCTGGCACAGCTCTTGGCAGACAGTGAACACTTCCACCTTACATCCACCGGCACAGGTCACAAACACACTGTCCCGGCCACAGCAAAATACCTCCGGGGCTTGCTTAGTCGGCACGATCCTCTGGGAGCCAAAAGGATGGCAATTGTAAAGCTGCACCATTGTGTCCCCTGTGAGGGTTCCTGGGTGAGATCACAGCAGCCCAAAATGTTACCAGATTCTGTAGCTTTGCATCTTTGTCATTTGGCTTCAGTGAAGGTAGAGAGGTGGAAATGACCTAGAACCCAAATCAGTACAGTAGGTCTTTCTGGATACAGCAGGCAACTGAGCAAGGAAGTATAGTCCTCTGCAATCCTGTACAAAACAGAGACATATTATATTCAAACCGCACACACTGCTTTCTATAACCTTTGTATAGCTGGTTGGCTATAGGTCCCAGAGTGAGGTGGAAAAAGAGAGAATG